ATTTGTAAATTAATAAAAAAAATATTTAATTAAAATATAATAAATTTATTTTTAAACCTTAATATTATAGTATATATGATTCTAAAAGTATAGTTTAAAATAACAGTTATTAGATATAATATTATTAATAAACTTTATAATTCATTTTAGAAAATATAATGTATTAAAAATGATAATACTGTCTATAGTTAATTTAAAGTAAAGATTCTTTATACTAAACTTAATTTTAAATTTGTTTAATACTGTACAAAATATATTTAATATATTTAATTGTAAAAATATTCAAATAAGAGTTAAAATTAAATTAAAGTTAAAATTATAATTAGAATTAAAATAAAATTATAAAAACATATTTTTTATTAATATTATATAATAAGAATACTTTAATAAAATTTTGAAATACTGTATTGAAATAATATACCTAAATGCAAGATATATCAAAAAATAATATTTTTTTATATATCTTAATTTTCTAACCTTAAATTTTATCCAACTTTAAACTTTTTTGTGAGTTTACTAATTTTATCCCATAGTTCCTATTGGACGAAAAAAATCCTGCTTTTCGATCAAATAATGGAATGTCATTGAAACAGTATAAAAGTCTAATCAAACAAATACTATACTAAAATTTTGCAAGTAATTTTTTTTGTTAGAACACGAAAGGTGGTTTTGGTGGTTTTATAACTAAATTTTTAAGTTACCAACGATTTTTGAAAAACCAAAAAATTTTATGTTACACCTGATCTTATAATTTGATTGGTAGACGAAAGATGGCGTAGTCTACATTGTCCAATTAGAGACGGCATTTACAACTGTCCAATTAGAACCGTGGGGAGAAATTAGGGATCCCCTTTTTTTTAAAAAAATATAATACGTATATATAGCAATAATACAGTAATTACCTGCGATAGTTTCTAGCAAAATCTATATGCAATACATTTTAACTTGTTTAAAATTTTTTATAAACAGAGTTTAATTTAAAATTTTACTTTAAAAATCTTTTAAATCAAGTATATAATATAGTAATGTTGTAAGTAATATAATCTATAATACTATAAGATGTCAGTAGAAAAAAATTCAAGTTCATAATAATTTATAATAAGCTATATATATAATCAATTTAATTGAGTATACGTATCGAATATCAGTTATATATAATTAATGATGTAAAATGATGTCATCAATTTAATGTAGTGTTTATCATCACTATATAACTATATATATAATGTAGTTGCAAAATCAAAAAATCAATTATTTTGATCTCACTCATTTTTTTAAGATAAACAAAAACCTTTTTCAAAACAAACCAAGCAAAAATGTCTTCAAAAGCTAAAGCAAATACTGTCAAACCTAAAAGACCTCCCTATGAAGAAATGATTCGCGAAGCTATTATTGCTTTGAAAGATCGTAAAGGAAGTAGTCGTCCAGCTATAAAGAAATATATTACAACCACGTATCAAATTGAAGATAATCCTACTATGGCTCAAAGTTTTCGCAAAGCACTTAAAAAAGGTGTCGATAAAGAGATTTTTACGTTTTATAACGGTCCGAAAGGCACTATCAAGCTCGTTAAAAAAGATGCAGAAAAGAAACCTCGTTCTGTAACTAAGGCCTCTGACACTAAAGATGAAGCTGCTAAAAAAACAAAATCGAAAGTTACTAAACCTAAGCCTGTGAAGAAGACATCTACAGTTGAAAAGAAGGTCTCTAAACCTGCGCCAGTGAAAAAGACTCCTGCCACGAAAAGTACCACCAGGGGTACCAAGAAAGGTACGAAGGATACCGCAAAGAGTACTACTAGGAGTACCACTAGGAGTGCTACGAGGAGTACCAGAAAATCCCCCGCTGCTACAAAATCAGCTGCAAAAGATGTTGGAAAAAGTACCAGGGCTTCCACATCTCGAAAGGCTAAAGCAGAATCTCCAAAGACTAAGGCTACAAGGAAGAGAGCAACCAGGGCTGGCGCTTAAGTCTTTCGATTTGTCTAATTATCGTATTTTCTTTATCAGATCATATATGTTCGCCACTTTATAATGCGTCAGCTATCTTTAGTCTTTATAATGCATCAGCTATCTTTAGTACTTTTTTTTAGTGATTAAGTTCTTTTATATAGTGTTTAAATTCTTTTATCACAATTATCTTTTATTGCTGTTATTAAGTGAATTTACCGTTTTTTACTATGCTTTTACTTTTTTACAATTTGCTTTTTTTTTTTATCGGCGTTTCCATTTGATCTGATTGATTTTAAGCAATGAAATTTATAAAATAGTTTCATATTATACAATTGTTTGAATCATTCATATTTGATCACAACTATTTTATAATGAAATAATGAAATAATAAAAATATACATTTTCGCTTCACTAAAAATATATGTTCTCGCTTCACTAGTCCTGATAAGGGAGTGTGTAAATAAATACTGAAATATCTTTGATTACCAATCAAAATATAAGATCAAATCTAACATTAAAAAAAAAATTAAAAATTTTAAAAATCACCAGTACTTTAAAATCTTGTTTATAAAACCACTTTTCACGTTCTAACAAAAATAATTATTGCAAAATTTTAGCATAATATATGTTTTATTAGATCTTTATACCGTTCTAACGATACTTAAACATACATGCCGTTATTTGATCGAATCAAAAATTTCTTGATCTACTTCGTCCAATCAAAAACAGGAGTTATTCGTCCAATAGGAACTAGTAGGGAAAATCAGTAAATCCCTATCGCTATCGTAATATAACGATAATTTATGTAGAAGTTTTGAGATATATTATAGTATTAACAAAAATAAAGGCTAGTTTCATCTCGAAATAACGTCCATGCCAGTCGTTTCGAGAATTTACGGTAAGGATTGAACTTTTTTAATATAATAAAAAATGGTGATATAATATAGTTACAAGGTAGTTTACAAGCTTGAACATTTTTGAATATTTTGACAAAAAATAAATTTTGCCAATATATTTCGAACATTGTACTATAACTTATTGCGTTATAACTTATTACGTATATTGTATTATAATAAATTACATATATTGATTAGGAGAATTACTGTTTATGCGCTATATATCTGTTTATATGGACTAATATGGACTAAATGCAGAGAAGAGGGACCAATTTTTCAAAAAAAATTGAGCCTAACTAGTTCAGAGTTAACTCAAATATTTTTACATTTTTCGCTTAGGGAACAAATAATAAAATTTTTACAGTATAGTCTGTATACTACATATTATTGATTCTTGTTTATAAAAATTAGGTTATATTCTATATAACAATTTACAAACCAATTCTTACTATACTATACTATATGTAAAATATATTGTTTTTGTACTATCTTTTTTTGTATTTTCTACTTTCATATATATGGTATTTTAGATGCTATTTTTATTTTCAATATAATTTTCATTGGCTTTCAATAATTGCTTTTAAAAAATTAATTTACTAGCATTTTAACATATATGTTACGGGTCAAATTGGTTTTTAGGTCAAGTTAAACTTGACCCGGGTCAAATTAATCAATTAAAAAACCAACAATAGTTAAATCACCCTAATTAATTTCGCTGGCCAATAGATTTCAAGATCATGTGTAAATAGAAACAACGAAAAAATGATTGTAGTTTAAAATTTTATCTATGAAAGTGTCTACTGCGTACTAATAAATCATTTTCCTCATGAAATTTTACCATCACTATGGTCCTTTAAACCAAACACTAACCTACTGGTGGGGTCCTAACCTTCAACTAATTGTGAAACAATTTTTTTAATAAGATCACATAATCGGCGAAATTTTTAGGGTGGTGATGCTAGATTTATATAAAATTCTGCTAGGGTCGGGTCAAGTTTAACTTGACCTAAAAACTAAATTGACCTGTAGCATATATACGTATATGTGTTGTACATCGGGATGGAATTATTGTAGATTTAGATTTAGAACCTACCTATGCTGATTCCAGGTTGGTATAGTATTCCTTCAACACTCATAAGCGTTCGAGAAGTATCTATTACGCAATCATCTCCACAATTAGATAATATCAAATGCAATTGCAAAAACGCATGTGACAAAAAAAACATTGCAAATGTACTTACCATATGGGAATAATTATAGATATAAAAACTATGTAATGCTTTTAAATCTATTTAATTTGCAATATGTTATGAATAAACCCTATTTTAAAGCGACTTAAATTCCAAAACAAAGTACTCGATGAAATAATTTAATCTTATTGTAAGTTGAAGTGGAATTATTTAACGGCTCGGGCACAATGTAAAATATCATTACAGGACTCAGCTGATGCAATTTATTAGCATTATACGTAACTCTAATAATGCCAAAGTCTACATCATATGTGTCATCCTCCAAAACTTCGAGAATCTTGCAGTGGAGTGTTTTTCGATCTTTGTATTTTTTGGGCCTTGTAAAACCTTAATTCGAAAATTAATGTCTTCATATATTTTACGACAACTATTAGTTGATTTGTTGCTAAGATATTTGACAAGCAATTCTTTAAATGCATTACGAGATAAAATGGATAATCTTGAGATTCGGTTATCGAGTAGGGAGAAAAGTAAAATAAGTAAAGAAAATAAACAATTTGCTTATCTCGACAATTTAGCATGATAGGGTGATGTAATTTTTTTTAACTTCCACTACATCAATTGGAATCAACCTAAGTTACTTTTAGGGGGCAGGGGGTATTAAGCATTATGGCGCATTTGCAAAATTTGAAAATTTTGATTACTAATATCAATATGTAAAATTTTTGATTACTAATATGTAAATATAGATTTTACTGAGATAATCAACATTCCCCAAGTTATGATGCGTCATTTTAATAAATTCCTATGTCTAATGAGATGCGTCAGGGTGGGAAGATAGGTTAGGCTGTGGGGAAAATGGGTTAGACTCGTTATCGGTACAGATCAGGGGTTCAAAAAACTTTTTCGGGGTTTAACATTAATTAATATATAATTTGGTAACCAAAATCTAAATTTGGGTAACCAAATTATTGGATTTGGTGATCAATTGTTTGCTAACGCGCCGTAATGGAAATCTTATGATCTAGTGAACGAAATTAGATAATTTTTGTACCATTTAATTCGTCTCAAAAAGACGAATTAAATAATATAAAAAATCATCTAGTTCCGATCACTAGGTCATAAGATATCTTTCACTTGTCCACAATACCTCCGGCTCCCTATATTGGTGATAAGATTTTTGATGATTTCGTTTAGTGTTGAAATTTCTTACGTATCATTTTTCGAATATTTATTTTTTTGAGTTTTGGTGACATTATTGCATGCACAAAATACTAACAGTTAAGAACAATTTCGTACTTAGGTACGTACGTATATAGTGTTTTATAGCGATCAGTGACACAACGTAAATCTTTAAACGTATGTATATCTTTACTATATACTTCAGTATTTGTTTAGAGCAAACATTCGATCAATTTTAAATTAATGAAGAAATTAGCACAACATTAACGCTATATTACTATGTTCGTATAACTAATTAATTTATATTATTTAAGGATCTTCTACGTAAACAGAATAGACTTTTTCCGAGACTAATACTTTTGCATAAAAGTTTAATTTATGTCATGAACAAGCTGTATATAATTAATGTAACAGAACTAAAAGATATTTTTCTTACGAAGATGCTGTCAGTTACACTAATAGCTACGTACACTAATAGCTACACTAATTAGGCTGCAATAATAGTAAACTTAATTGAGAGAGCTGAATTGCACACGTGAAATCTCTTTTATAATGCAGCAAGCAAATAAGTCTACCTTCGTACGTACGTACGCACGCACGCATGTACATTGTTTAAAGACGTATGATGCACTTTCTTTCAACTGATCGGCACGCTGTTGAATCAACAAAGATGTATTATTATTATAATCCGTGAAACAAATGTAAATTCAAACTCAATTAATAAAACCTTAGTCAAAATTGCTATGTCATGGTAAGGGTGACATAGAAGTTGCTTACATACAAACACAACATTATGGCTCTGGGTGAATTTAGTGAAGTGGGTATATTCATAAATAAGTAATATCTGCATACAAGGTTGCAAGAAGGTTTACAAAAACCATAACGATTGAATGCTTTCTGCTTTAAACAAGTTAAGGTGAGTGCATCATATCCCATTGAGGAAAATACGTTGTTATTTAATTCCGATATGTATGTTGAGTATGCATATAAATATATATATATATATATATATATATATATGACCTGATATTTGGTTAGCATTTGATTTGCTTACGCGGACCGCAGCTAAATAATCGCAGATTTAGTTGCTAATGGAAAGTGATTTCATATTCTAGAATTTATAGAAATATAGCTATAAATAAATAATTATATTTATAGACTTAGATATATATATACGTATACATAATTAATATCAGATATTCATTATGAATATGTATTCAAATTACATATATGAATATCTTATGATTTTCCAAATTTTGAAATTGGATTGACTCATACCAATACGCATGTATCATTCATATTTCTATCACCCTGAATTTTTCAAGAATAATACTAATGTTAAATGCATTGCAGACTACGTATTAAAATAAATTTTATGTATCAAAATTAGACAACAAACATTCTTACTTATGATGTTATGATGTATGAACAAGATAATTCGTATTATCTGTTATTAAACTTATCAAGTCAACTTTATTTATCGTTGTGATACTTAATAAAAATCTATTTGTTACTCTTATATTACCGTTACAGTTTTTTTAAAGAACTAGCATTAATACAGTAATACAGTAATAATATTGATCATGTGACTACAAAGAAACGGTTGAAAATATTTTCTCACGAAATATATATGTACAGTACGTAACCCTTTATTTTTTTTAGTTCTAACCCCCTATTTCCGATCAACTTGCCTGATTTATATAGTATTTACATGTACCGCAAAAAAGCTAAATTGATCGCCAAACATTTCTCGATTCGTTTAAAGTTCGTAATCAATTTTTTCTTCCCCTTACCCCTCATAACTTTATTAAAATGATATATCAAAATAAAATGATTAATTATACTGCTTAGAAAAATTCTGTGTTCGGATAATTTTAACCAAGAAAAATAATTCTTTGTCCCTTTTTTTTTTTTTTTTTTAATATATAATCTTATTTCGAAGTTTGTACTTCATAAACCAAATTAATTAACCGTTTTTTTTTCGTACTTCTTAAATTCGAACTATTTTTTATCGACCTTAATCTTCATTCCTACGTACTTACCTCCGTTTACCGATATCCAACCTATCTTTGTATACTGCGCCTTTCCCTTCGTGCCACTTTTATAGTTCATAATTTTTTATATATGTCTCAATTTTTTTTATCATTTCCTCTTAACTTATGATTAATAATTTCTTATTATTAATATTTTAAAAAAAAAAGTTATTTATTTTCTTTTGTTTTTTTTTTTTTTTTTTTGGTACGAAATTTTTTATCTTACTTTGTAAACGTTCAGTAAATTAATTTACACTCAAAAGATGGGAACGATTAATAATTATGTAAGTATTTTTAATCCATTTCATAATTAATTCAATTTCTAAAAGATTAAATCGATTCAATTGTGTTAACAATTAAATAATTTAAATATCATTTCTTTTTTTATAATGATAGCAATTAAGTAAAGAATGCCTTGGAAAAGGTTCTTTCGGTTCTGTCTACAAAGCTTTGAATATGGTAACTGGTGAAGCGGTAGCAATTAAACAGGTGAAGATCAACGATCTACAAAAATCGGAGCTAACTTTTATAATGGTAAGTTTTCAACTTACGTACTTTATGATTTGAATTTTTTTTTCGGGATTTTTCGATTTAAAAAAATAGTATTCTAATGATCACTTCTTTTCCCCTTCTAAATATTATAGGCTGAAATTGAATTATTAAAAAATTTAAACGTACGTAGATGATAATGTTGTTATTCTCGAAAATATTATTTTATTAACCAAATCATATATTTACCACGATGTATTAATAGCACCCGAACATTGTAAAATATAAAGGATATGTCAAGGCGGATGATTATTTGAATATAATATTAGAGTATGTAAAAAAAAAAATTCATGACTTTATAAATATCGTGTATTAAATTTATCATTCATTCATTCATTAATTCATTATTATTCTCAGATTTTGTGAAAATGGATCTTTACTTAATGTTTGTAAAAAGTTTGGAAAATTTCCTGAAAACCTTGTTGCTCTATATGTTAGTCAAGTTTTAGAAGGGTTACTATATCTTCATGATCAAGGTGTTATACATCGTGATATAAAAGGTGCAAATATATTAACCACAAAAGAAGGTTTAGTTAAATTAGCTGATTTTGGTGTTGCTACAAAAACTGCAAATCTTGGTGATTTATCCGTAGTTGGTTCTCCTTATTGGATGGCTCCTGAAATAATTGAATTATCTGGTGCTACTACTTCTTCTGATATTTGGAGTGTTGGTTGTGTTGTTATTGAACTTTTAGAAGGAAAACCTCCTTATCATAATTTAGATCCAATGCCTGCTCTTTTTCGTATTGTTGAAGATGATCATCCCCCTTTACCTGAAAGTGCTTCTCCAGCTGTTAAAGATTTTCTTATGCAATGTTTTCAAAAAGATAGTAACCTTCGTGTATCTGCAAGAAAATTACTTAAACATCCTTGGATTTCTAATGTTCGTAAACCAAATATAACTACTGAATTTGAAGATGCTATAAAATCTGTAAAAGAATGGAATGAAGCTTTAAAAGATGCTAAATTTGAAAATCATAAAAAAAAAAGAAGTGCTTCTATAAAATCTTCTGCTACTATGCCTTCAAAATCAAGATCTTCTCTTTTTTCAACTACTTCTCCTCAAATTCCTGATTTTACTCCTCCTACTAATACTTGGGAAAATTTATCTTCTACAAATTTAATTTCAAATTCTTTAAATCAACAAAATAATCGTTTATCTGTATTTCTTGAATTACCTGAAGTTGAAGGAAATAATTGGGATAATGATTTTGTAGATTCTATATCTTTTTCTCAAATCGTTGATATTCAAAATAGGCAACCAATTTCTAATTCTGATATTCGAAATAAACAATCAAATTATGAATCTTTTGAAGATGATAATTCTCAAACTGTTCGTCCTTCTCAATTTAATCATAATGGTATTAAAAATCTTCATTCAATTCTAAAAAATCCTGATGAAGATAATATTGAAATTAATGGTGGATTTGTTGATAAATGTAATGGATTCGTTGAAAGTGTTCAAGATACTATAATTCATTTACCTTCAAAATCTTCTTTGAATAATTCTAATTCTATTCTAAATACTGATGAAATTAAACGATATACTAGACATACTCGTTCTCATACCACTAATGAAGCACCTGTTTCAATTAATGGTATAATTAATGGGGTAAAAAAGTGTTCAAAAAAACCTCCTCCTCCTTTATCACCTCAAAAATCTTCTTTATTAACAACAATGTCTGCACCAGCTTCACCAGCTTCAAGACCTCAATATGATATACAGCTATCAAATAAGATTTTGATTAATTCATCTCGTGTACCAACTCCTGTACAACAAGAATTTCTGGAATTTCAAGAATTAGAAGATGAACAAGATTATAATCAATCTTTTCGAGATTCTGATGATGATGATGATGGTTTGAATCATACATTAAAATTGAACGCACATGATAGTTGGAGAGGTGATGATAGTAGTGATGAAGATGATCCATTTGCAGAATTGGAAGAAAAATTTGATGAAATGGATATGGATGCACATATTGCTCGAGATAAATATGCAAATGCTTGTTCAAGATTAGCTGAACTTATAAATTTTTTACAACCAAATGAAAGTGAAGATAAATTGATAAGTTCTTGCGTTCAAATAATTGATCTATTAACAGAACATCAAGAACTTAAAAATCATTTTATAATCTTTCATGGTGTTATTCCTATCACGGAAATATTAGAAATTTGTGTTAACACTGACTTACTTTCAAAATTATTAAAAATAATTAACATAATAATCGCTGATAATATTGATATTCAAGAAAATTTTTGTCTTGTAGGTGGTATTCCAATAATCATGAGTTTCACTTCAAAAAGATATTTATATGAAATTAGAGTTGAAGCTGCAATCTTTATAAGGCAAATTTGTCATACATCACCAATTATCTTACAAATGTTTATATCATGTCAAGGGTTAAAGATTTTAGTTGATTTTTTACAAGAAGAATACTCTAAACATAAAGAATTAATTTGGATTGCGATTAATGGAATATATAGTGTTTTTGAACTTCAAAGTTCAACTCCTAAAAATGATTTTTGTCGATTACTAGCAAAAATTGGTGTATTAGACCCGTTAGCCATTACCTTACATAATGTTATAATGGATGATGATCCTTCAGCCAGTATATATGTGGATAGAATTGTTAATATCTTTTTAATGTTTTCTCGAGGTGACGTTTATGTAAAAGAATTTATGGCTACACGTACACGAGTTGTTACTAGGATTTTTGAAGACTTGTACAAATTACCACCATATTTAATTGTAGCAATTCTTAAATGTATCAAGAACATTTCTATGCATTCAAATACTTTGGATGCTTTACAAAAAGCAAAAGCAATTCAAATTCTTACGGCATTATTGGATAAACAAGTTCCATTATATGTAACTGAAATTTCTAATCAAGTACTTAATACAATGTTTAACCTTTGTCGAATTAATAAATCAAGACAAGAAGAAGCTGCAAGAGCTGGACTTATTCCTCATTTGGTACATTTCGCATCAAATAATACACCACTTAGACATTTTGCTATTCCAATTCTTTGTGAAATGGCTCATACAGGACAAGTTTGTCGTGATTTATTATGGCAAAATAATGTTTTACAACTTTATCTTAATTTATTAATTGATAAATCTTGGCAAGTTAGTGCTTTTGAAGCTATTCTTGCATGGTTTCAAGAAGAAACTTCTAATGTAGAATCAATTCTTTTACAACCAAAAAATGTAAAATTAATTTTAGATGCTTTTGTTGCTGCCAAAGCAAATTCTTTTGAAAATATTCTTGAACCATTACATATAATAACACAATTATCTGCTCCTTTAACTTGTGTTTTAGTACAACCTAAATTTTTTGATCGTTTATTACATAGATTTGGTCATCCAAAACCTGTTGTAAGATTAAATTTATTACGTATTTTAAAATCTATTTGTGATGTACATCCACAACGTGAAGCTGTTATTAAACGTTATGGATTATTTGAAATTATTTTTAAAATAAGTACTGAAGATCCTGCTGTATTAATAAGAGAACTTGCAAAAGAAATTTTACAACAAGGTTATTTTAGTCTTAAAAAGAATGGATGTTAGGTTTTTTGTGTTGTTTTCATTACGCGTAATAAAAAACAATATATAGTTTTTTTAAAATAAAATTCTTTTATTTTTCTTGAAAATAATTTCTCTATAATAAAAAGTATTAAATAAAAAATTGGTATTTTACGTATATGATTTTGGTTAACACACGTATTAGTATATAATTGGAATAAAGTCTTTTATTATTATTAAAAATTTGGTTAACCAATTATATTACGTGACGCGAATATAAATTTATAATAAAGGCAATGTCATAATAAAATTTAGACACCAACTTCCCTAGTTATAAATTATATATAAGAATTTCATTTCAACTTTAAGAAAAAAAATTACCGGGAATACTTATTCAAAAATCTAAAATTATTTTTAATGATAATAGGCAAATAATGTTATGCTTTTTTCAATTATTTAAATTTTATCGTAGTTTACAAGTATCACTTAAACAATCGAATGTTAATCGTGGAGAAGGTAATTGTTTCTATTGCGTGTAGGGATTAAGGATGTTCTCAAGCAGATCACTCAATGTGATTAGCCAGCCAGTTATCGAGATGTTGCTCAAATTATTGTGATTAATTGAGTTGTTAATGTAGTTAAACAGTCATTGTGCGAATTGCGAATTCTAAATTTTATACAATCAGAGCAATTCTATGAAAAAAGATGGTCTGCACCTCCAGATTTTATTCACCGAAATGATAACTCACTTGTTTGTTTTCGACTACCGAAAAGACCGAATAAGGGTCGGTCTTTTTAATCAGTCTTATAGTTAACCAGTGTAACGACTCGATTATGAGTTGGCAGTACCTAAGAATGCTAGGATGAAAGGTTATGAGTTCCATCCGCAAAAGGAAAGAGTGTCACTTCTAATGGACACGTACTATGATAACCTATATTCAAGTTATCTATGGAACTTGTAAATAGGGGAGGTTAAAATGAAGCATTTAGGCCATAGTACTGACCAGAGTACTGTCTCGCCTGACAATACGATATATTACCTCACATTGTTCACTGAGCTTGGGTTGCTTACCAGCCTCTAACTTTGTTAAAGTATAATAAGATTACTGCATACGGGGACGATAACGTATTGAGTAGTAACTGCTTCGATGAACTTTGCATTAAAAGGAGTGTCATTAAAAATAGAGGGAGACACAGACACATTGGATAGTATAGAATTTCTTTCTAAAATTTATAGTACTAAACAGTCTAAAATTGATGAAATAAAACAATATGTTCCTAACTACGAATATCATATTGCATACGAACATAACCGGGACAAACTACTGATGACCCGAGAAAAAATTATTCGTTACACCAGTTGGACGCGATAGCTAATTACAAAAATATGTTACATAATCTTTTATATAATATTTTAGAGGTTTAAATAATTAAGGACCTTTACGTATTAAGACCGGACTGGATTGAAAAACGGGCTGGACGGAGATGAATAAGATACAGGACATGAGTTTTATCTAAATAAAAGAAAATTTAAATATTTATCATTTCAGTCAAAAAACTTTTTGTTCCGAACAACCTTTTTTTGCATAACTTTATAACTATTAAAATAAATAGAGTTGCTGTTCAAGCGTTTTATTATGCTTTTCGTTATCGACACACTAACATATCACTAATGTATTGCTGTTATTTTGTTTTGGAAATCATTTAGAATCTACTCCAGTACTCAAGCGGTAATTATCAAGAAGTTATTGAGGTTTTTATTTTGATCAATTGTAACAATTGAGCATTATTGCAATTATTAATAAATCAGAGCAATAGTAAATACTTGAGCATATCTCAATATTATCGTATTCGCATTATCTAAAATGATGAGAATAGGTAAAACCACATCATAATGCCTGTGCACTATTTCTATCACTATGACATCGTTTCTAAGTGAATGCTTGAGAACACCTTAAATCAGCCTAAATTATTCTCAAAGCTGATAAATTTTTTTCGGTAACAAGGCTGAGCGATGCGAACTTTGTGTCATCATATTTTAGAACTATAATTCTTAATAGCGGTTTATTAGTTAATATAGATTTGAAAAAATCAACAAATTGTGGTTACGAATTAACTTCCCGAAATTCATTTCACTGAAATACTATTTCACCGAAGCTATTGACGGACAATTCATTTTACTAACAAGACTTTAAATTGATATTTATCTGCAATTACCATTTCACTGTACTAAAAGAACGACCGTTTACTTTATCGACATGTCATTTTCAGATTGATACATTTTTCTGACATCTATTTCTTCGAAAATTAATTGAATGTTAGTAATACATTCTGTCAGGGAAATAATAACGAACGATAAAACTAAGTTTTTAACGATTATAAAATCCATATACATATTAATTGCATATAACATTTAGCTAATTTTCAAGTTCCTCATAGCTAAACTTGTTGGAAGTGAGATCTAATGGCATATTATTTTAGAATTGTAACGAATTAATACCCTGGCTCAACTCTCTCACATGATTTTTGTCAGGGGAAATTTGCAACCAGTTAGTATGTTATTATCTCAGTAAATTAGTGAGAAATATCACTATTTTTTTAGTATGTATAAAATATATATCGGCAAAGTATTTTAATAGCTTTTAAGCATAACCGGGATATTACCCTTTAATAACAACCCGGGTGGTTACTACAGCAATTTATAAGTTACATTAAAGTTATTTACAATTTAACAAAACTATTTCCAACGGCTTAAAGTTTAGATCATCCTCTGGGTGTTATTATTTTGAGTTGCTTGCGGAATAAATAAAGGAGCAAATGGAATCTTGATCGATTTCGAGCGATTGAATTGATTTTGATTATTTTTGTATTTATTATCGATTTCGTTACCATTACTATCATCGTCACGTTCATTACTTCCATTATACTTGTAAACGTAAAATTTCATAAATTAATATACCAGGTGGTACTATAAGTTTTGCAACGTTAACTCGTTGCTGCTCATTTTGTGACCTATACATATTGTATGCCTTTATGTGCAATGTTTGGTGATGCCCATTCCAGCCTAAATCTTTACACCGTTGTCATTCAATTTTTGAGCTGTATGTTTGTGAAGGGAATGGTTTACAATCCTCCTACCAGCACAATTAATACCTGTAATGAAACAAACTTCATAAAACTACGGCCTACATGACGGTTTAAAATCAGAAGCTTTTATAAAAGAACGTTTCATTTTTATTTTTTTTGTATTAAAAGGGAAAGGAAAATTGAATTACAATTACATATTTGAATTATCAATTTAATATCATTTCATATAAGCTTAATACGTATGAGCTGTCTGAGATCAATCCACAAATTACACAGTGACCCAAGTTATTATTAATCAAGTTCCTCATGTTACCGTTAGTCATTATTATAAATATACTTTTGTGCTAAATAATTCCTGGGTATAAATTAAAATTTAATTGAAAATATTGATACCGATACGTATCTCGAAATTTATTACCTGAAAACATAACTGATAATATTGGTGTAACATTGGCGCATGAGCATATATACGTGTGATGTAGATATCGATTTGATAAAATTTGTTGATCTTGCTATAAACTCAATAAGGATTTTTTAAAATGGATGAGTACAAGGTTAACGTTGGTGGTAGAATTTTCTATTTTTCTATTAATTGGTAAGTAGTGAATAAGTGATCATTATCATAAACAGTATTAGAGGTCTAAAACAAAGAATATATGCTTTTTTTTTCTCAGTTTAACGCGTGATTCACCAAATCTTTTGACCGAACAATTATTGTCAGAATCTCAAGAAGAAAATGAAATCTTTTTTGATCGTGATCCGGATTTATTCGAGTTTATAGCAAAATATCTTCGGGGATACAACATATTTCCGTTAACAAAAGAAATTTTACCCGTGGGCTGGAATTTATTTAATTTCATACAATGCTTAACACAAGATGCGTGTTTTTTCAAACTTAAAGGACTTTTCATCTCCATTCGTCCATTTTATTACTTTGGTATGAGCCCCTCTGCCATTGACATTTTTTCTCGTGAAGAAAAGATAGTTATCAATTTGCAAAAAGTCAATCCCACCAACTTTCATATTGAAAATGATGATGTCATGCACATCGTTCAAGGTCAACCCCTTAAAGCAGAATTTTTTACTGGGAATTTGGCTTGGGATTTGATTTCAGATAATAATTGGGAATTTAAATTTCTCAATAACTTGGATAATGTGATGGTTAAGAGGATCTCCAAAGAGATTCGATCTCAGGCTAATCCAGAAGTTGAATATTATCCTGGTGAACCTGGTGGCGCTTTTTTTTCCATTGATGACATTGAAATGAACGGAAGTAGTGTTTATGATCATACTGTAGAAAGATCTTTTCCACTTCAACAAACAAGTCGACCTTTTTCTTGTGTGAGAATTTGGCTAAAAAAATTGGTGTTTTCGTTTCGAATACCAAGTGACCCGGATAAGCCACTAATCATAGTGCCTAAATGGGGGATTGGGCTTACACAAATTTATCACAAGTCTCTGAGATACGCAACGTTTTTCTAGTTTTCTAGTTGGTAGGTCTCTTATTATAGGATGAAATTTAATTATCGTATAATCCATATAATCTTGTCATTCTTACTAATTTATTAAACCTTTTGTATGTTCATTCACATATAATCCATAATTCAATCATTATTTGAAATAAGATAATTAGTTCTGGAAATGAAAAAATTCTTAAATTAGAATATAACTGTAGGCAGGAACATTTAATGCAGATTCTGTTAAGACTAATAAATTGTTGGAAATTGTATCATTTGATTTTTTTTAATGCAATTAATCATTGATTAAATCTACTCTATTCGCATTCGTAAATTCTATCCAATAGTTAAATTACCAAGTTCTTAATAATCAGAATTAAATTTCATTATTATTTACTAGTTGTTCTATTTTTTTGAAAATGCTTGTTGGTAATCCTACGACATTATAATAACATCTACCATTTGGAAATGAAAATATCTTAGAACGAAAGAATCAGATAGGTAATGATAAAAAAGATAATTTTTATGTGATATTCACCCATTAATCTTTTCAATAAATAAGCTGCCAAATGCTTGAATTCCGTATGATCCTTCAGGAGGAATAACGAAAAAAAGATTTAATTTGTTAGTATTTCAAATTCTCATATGTCTTTATTTCTAATAGTTGTACTTTTAAATTTATATACCAGCTTTATCCAGAGGTTCTCCGGTATCAATATAAGCCAAAAAATCTTCATCACTATTATTTCTAAATACAACTTCGGTGTTCTCAGTTGATGTTGAAATTGCATAATCAGATTCACCCTTAGGGTAAACTAACGCTATTCCAGTGTAAACACAATGCGAATTTCGATTTAATTTTCGAAGCATATTTAGTGCATCTTTTTTATCTTTTGGTTTTTCTAATATTTCTCCACCAAAAACAACTACGGTATCTGCTGCAATTACTAGATCTACTTTTTGGCCTTCCTCCTTCATAAAATTGGATAAAAAAAATTTTTTTTTAGGAAAATTCTTCAATATTAAATAACAAAATTGAATAATCATGACTACTCACTAGTAAACGTTTATATACTTCTAATCCTTTTTCTGTCGCGTTAGTTACAACATAGTCTAAAGGCGAATATTTTGATTTATCCAAAGTTTCAGGAAATTTGCTTGGCACAACGTCAAAATTTAATCCCTAAAATCAACCATTTTTCATCAAAAGAAAATGAATGATCATCATTAATCAATGTCTTTAGGCAATGCATTATTAATACCATATTTGAAAGAATTTCTTTTCTGCGTGGTGACCCTGATGCGAGAACAATACGTTTATCCTTAAGTTTTTGCAGAAATGGAAATGACATTTTTTTATAAAAGTTAGAGAATAGTGTTCTGAGTGAGATTTATACTGGAGTCACTTTAAGTTACGTTGCACAACGCGGCTTTTTATCTTACCAAATTTAGTACATGTGTACTTACTGTCTACGAACTTTTATTACGCTGGGAAATATTACGCATATAAAAATTTATTATAAAACTTAACACAGATAATTTATCACCCAACTCATATGCTCTGATTAATAACATTATATGCATAGTTTAAATTATCAACCTTCTTCATCAAAACTTAAATGCGTTTTTTTAGGTTTTTTAGGTTTAGACTTTTTATCCGTACTAACTGATGTATCAGTTTCTTTTTTACTATCTTTTTTACTATCTCTTTTACGTTTCATTCCGTCAATA